TATATATATATATATACACACACACACACACACACACACACACACACACACACACACACACAGTATATTTATTTATTTATTTATTAACTAATTTATTGTATTACTTGACTGCAAATTTCTCCCAAATTCTGGTGAAAAAAAGCTATCATTCTCTCATGGTTCCATGTTGTTAAAACACTTCAGTGACCATGTTGGCACTTGTTAGTGTCAGACTTAACAGCAGTCTGGCATTGTTACAGAGCAACTACAGGTACATTATGGTGAAAACGAGTGGAAGCATTGAGATCGGTTTCCAGCCTGCAAGGCATTCGCGCTAACAGCCAAGTCGGATTTCACGAACATCTGTGTGGTTTTGTTCTCCAACAAGCCCCGCATCTGACCCCACACAGGCTCCAACCCCATCCTGTTTTTGGCCACGCATTTGAATGCTAATTGAAAATAACTGTATACACTAGCCCGTGTACATGCACTCACACAAACAGAAAACCCCTAATAGGATCAGAGATGTTGGAGTGTCATATCATTGGTTCTTTGGGTCCACCAAGCTCTATTATACGCATTGAAAAAAAAAAGATATAAATCAGCCTTTCTTTTGGTGCAGGTTCCATTGTGTTGACATTTGTCAGAGTAAATTATCATATGTACATTTTTGCAATTTTGTTGATGGTCAAGCATGCACACATAGTCATTTTAACTGTTCTATTGTTATGATAAAGTCTACTATCTCTTGTTCTTTATCAATGATAGATACAGGAGACAGTATGTCTGTGTTATGACAATACGTGACATAGAGTGGCAGTAGCTCATTCATTACATGTTTGCAGAGAGATACTAGTCTTCTTCCTGAGCACTGGAGAAGTGTCCTTAATGTTCCACCCCCCTAAAATAATTTCATGTTTCCACAGGTGCCAATTTTTAAAATTTATTATTATTATTATTATTACTACAGTGCTTATTCATGATTGACCAAGGCTGACATGAAACAATGACAAAAACTTGTGCCTACGGGGATATCCTAAATCTCCTTTCTGGATGACTTTTTGGTACACACCATATACAATGTAATAAATAATTGGAGGCCATGAGGTAAACAATATGGTCATCTATAAATATGTATTTTTGGCTGTTATTGCCCAAACAATTTAGAGTTTATGTATTG